AGTAACCATGTTTAAATATGATTAGAGAAATTGTAGTTTTATTCTATCTTCTCAATATACCTAGTCACTTCATTTTTTAGCTCTTTCCTCTTTTTTAATAAGAACAAGTCAGGACTAGATGGAACTAATTTAAGATGGGATAAAGTTGACCTTTTAGCTAAAGTCTTTTTTTATATTATTATCAAGTAAAAATAAAGTTTAACTAAAATAGATTTATCATCACTTTTATGTAAGAAAATAAAAAAATCAATTTTATGAATACAAAATGTTTTTTGTTTTTTTTTTCCATCATTTTCACCAAAATAATTCACTAATATTCACCTAGATTTAACAACATATATACTCTTTAGTTTCTACCGTAGTTTAGAGTTATTTTAATATACATTTTTTTTAAAAAAAAAACCCAAAGTTCTTTTAAAATCAAAATTAATCTTTCTAATAGTAAAAAAATATATTTTAAAATTTATTCAAATATGGCAGGAAATTTTTGGAGGAGAAAGGAAGGGAGCACATATTTTGTAATTTTAAATTAAAAAATTATATATCATTTATGATGATAAATACATTATTAATATATTAAGTTTATGTTGATATATTAATTTATATTTTTTATTTTAAAAAATATTAATTTTGAATATATTTATTTAAAATAATTTATCATCCCTTCCCCTTTCTTCCAAAACCCTTCTTCTCATACAACTCCTAAAAGAATTATATAACCTCATATTACAAATTTTAATTCCTTAAAAAGTTTTTAACTAATGGAGAAGCATACCCATCAATTGTAGTGAAAATGAGTATTTAAGACCCTTCTAGTATTGTTTGTACAGAGATTATATTGAAAATATCTACTATTATTATTATTTAGATGTTAAGCAAATTTAAAAGTTAAGAATATTTGTATTTAAATGAAATTTTAGAATTAAAATGCAAACACAAAGTGAAGAAATCACAAAATTAATTTGATATGAATAAAAGTTTCGGGCTTTAATTTTTTCTTATGATTATTTATGCTCTCTAATTCAATTATATTAAAATTTGTTAAATTAATTATCAATTATTACCAATACTTAATGATTATAGAATAATGACAGTCTTCTTATCTATATGTTATTCTAATGATCATACACAACAAAAAGATAAATAAGGGTATTAAGAAACAACATACATGTTAAGCTCAATTAATTGATTGGAAGTCTAGGTGATTAATTAATCCTCTAAATCATAAACTCAAATTACTTCTTAGTTTCATTAACTTATTAATGGTACCATTGCCGATTAATTAGTCAACTAGGATTAACCTTTTTAGTGGTCAATTTAAGAACGGTAAAGAAACAATTTCAATTAACAAATAATAAGATTGTGTAAAATCAAACTAGGTTAAAAAATGGTTAGATTACAAGAATTTACCTCAACTTCATGGCAAGAGGTATTTAATACCACGTAGTCATGAAGATTAGAATAAAAGTAACTAAACACAAAATATTTATAATAACAAATAATAAAGAAGAGAAAACTCTTATAGCTAGTTTGCTCTAACAGAAATACAACTTTGTGATGAGAAAGAAATGAAAGAAGAAGCTTAGAATTGAAGGTTTATGATTGTAGTATATATAGAAAAAAGATATGTAAGTATTTTTTTTTTTCAGAGAGTGAGACCTTTTTTATAAAATATAGAATCTAAAAGATATTGTTTGACTTCTTAAAAATTCTAATTTTCTGATGTTTGACACCACAAAGGCATGAGCACGCCTTGATGAATAAAATCAAAAGACTCATCAAAAGAAGACTACATAAATTAAAAAATAAAATAAAACTCTAAAAAGACCACAAAACATAAGTAATAAAATAGAAAAATATAAGTAATCTCTTTCATAACCCCTTATAAGTGGACAATCTTTTGAAAGAGATGTTATATTATTAATTTTTTTATTAATATCATATTTTATTGTGAATTAGCATTAAGAAATTATTTAAAATATACATATATATATGATATCTTAAACCATTTAATTTTTTAATGCTTGAGAGTGGTCTCTAATATCATCTAGTGAGTTTAGTAACTATCTCTCCATTAAATAGACACACTTTTATTTCTTTTTGTTGAGATTGTGTAGTCTTTTTTAGTCCCACATTATCTATTCTTGAGTGACTTTTATTTTACCATTACTATATAAGTAATGCCTTGTAAAACTTTAAAAATCATTCAGCGAATAAAATATTTCCCTAGTGTAGCCGTAGACTAGTATGAGGCCTTTTAGATGATGTCCAAAAATAAAACCATGAAGGTTTAGGCTCAAAGTAAACAATATCATACTAGTGTGGAGATGTACTAAAAAATTCATACTTGTTCTAACCATGTGTTGAATCTCCCAAGAAGGGCCAGGGAAGGGCTCGATGTGGCGAGGGCGAAGGGTGCCTGGCACCCAAGTGGGCTTTGGTTTAGAGGTCCAGTATTAGAGGACTTCGTTAAGGGGGAGATTGTTGGGATGTGCGAACAAAGTTTCACATTGACTAGAATAGGGGAGGATCAAGGGCATATAAATATGGTAGATCTCTATTAGTGTGAGGCCTTTTGGATGGTGTTTAAAAACAAAATCATGAGGGCTTAAGCTCAAAGTGGACAATATCATACTAGTATGAAGATGTACTAAAAAGTCCATACTTGTTCTAACACTTTTGCTCATCAGACAAAGAGTAATTTTTTATTGTTTTCCTAGATTAATTTTCTATGTCAAAATAAACAATGAAAGACCCTAATAATCTTAAGACAGATACATGTATCTAACTCCATTCTTTAACAAATTAATAAAGAAATATATTGTAATTTATATCTTTTGAATTATAGAGTATAATTAAATAGTTTAATAATTGGTATCAAAGTGTATGACCACTTGTGTGGAAAGTGCATGGAGCTACATGATCAAATTTCTAAAGACCTAATTTTTAAATTTTTGTGCCAAAACTCTTTATTTTTTAATTTTTAAATTTTTGTTATAAATTTTTTATACTTTGAAATATTTTTAAATCAATTAACATGAGATTAAATTGCTTATTCAGCTATTATACTCTTAGAATTTAGGCCTCAAGTTTTTATATAAATGTTTCTTTTGTTATTTTTTACATTAAGTTATATTGTATCCTTTCTATTACTATGTCATGAACATGTAATAAATCATGTTTTCAATTATTAATATATTCATGTGAATTCTTTATTAATTGAATAATTTTGTACATTTTACATGTTACATTATATTTTGTATAATATGACTTTGGTAATTTTTATCGTTGAGCTTGCATATAACAAATACAATTATGTGTGTTATTTAATTCTCTTGTTATATCATATTGATAATAATAAATATTCTATTGATATTTATTATTAATGTGATTTTTGTCAGATACAATGTATTAATACTATTAACTTATATCGATTATATTCAAGTATTTTATAAGAATTATATTTCTACTGGCATATTTTTCATATTGTATTATTATTATTGTAATTATATTCTTGTTTATTGTAATTTGTGATTGTAAATATTTTAGTAGAATTATAATAAGTAAGAAATTTGTATGATGAGAATATAAAATTATTTAATTCTCTAATTGTATAATAATTTATGCATATTAAATAGTTTTTTTATTTTTTATGTGCTCTTAATATGAACTTGGCTTTGGGACAAGAGGAGCTACTAGCTATTACTACTAAGTTTACCAATGCTCATAAAACTACTCAATAGAAATATGATTACTTAAATACAAAGGGTCTAATGGTGATAAAAAATAACATGATAAAGATCATTAAGCAAAATATCCTAAGAGTACCAATGATAAAACTTTTCTGGATTATGTTAACGATAAGTTTAAGATTTTTTATATAACTTAAAAAAGTCATTATTTTTACTATTTGATAACAATAAATATAATGATATTAACGATGTTTGTGAGCATATGCTGAAAATTGTGCATTATTGTAGCAAAATGAAATAGACGAACCTTCAAATTGATGAAAATCACTTGATTTGAAATTTTTTTAAATTATTTTCATCTTAGTTCGACATTCTCAAGACATCTTATAACACTTAGAATCATGAGTGATTCGTTAATTACATAATTGTTATTGTTTCTTAAGAAGATTTTACAAACAAAGATAAATTTTATGTTATTTAATTTACTGCTAAGTATCATGATGAGAAGTTTGTTGCTTCTACTTTGATACTAAAGATTAGATAAAAGATTATAAAAGCAAATTAACTAATAAAAAAGAAAAAGTAAGTAATATACTAACACATTTGGAGCTTAAAAAGAAGTAGCTTAAGAAAAATTGCAAATATTGTAAAAATTTAGCCATAAAATAGAGTTGTAGAGAATTAGTTTTCCTTAAAAAGAAAAAAATATGTATAGCTTTAACTTACTTTAAATCTAACATAATTAATATTCTTCTCAAGTGTCCTTACTGTTTATCTAACATGGAGTTATTAACTAAAGCTTTTAAATAAAATTATCGTTTTACAAAAGTCACGTAAAAAAACATTGTATAAAATATCATATAAGAGGTGTTAGGACATCAAATAACCTGTCACATTTACATAATGAAGATCTTATTTGTGAATAGTTTTACCAAAAACTCTTGAAACATGATTCAATCTCCCTTATGTTTTCTTGTCCGTATTACTAGAAGGCTGGAAAATTACTCAAAACATTTTTTATGAGTGTTATTAGAAAAGTATATCCCAGTGGGTGTTGTGATGAAATAATAATGACCCAATTATATATACATTCTTTGTTGTTTTCTTCTGATCCACAAATTCCTTATGAGTTGTCTAAAAATAAGTTGCATAGGTGGGTGAAGCCTAATATTTTTCCTGTTGGGAAAATTCCAGGCCACCACCATTCAGATTTTGGGCCGTGTAATTTTCCAACATGGGCCTCGGATCATGGTCTGGCCCAACCCAAAAGAGAGAAAAAATGGCACTAAATCACGCGAGTTAGACTCCCAGACATTTTCATTTCCCCTTTTACGAGTGTAATCGTTCCGTGTGTAGAAGAGGCACAAACACAATCGCAGGGCGAGAAAGAACGAGAAGGCAGAAGAAGAAAGATGTTGAGGGTTGCAGCTAAGAGGCTTTCCTCTCTCTCCATGTGTCCATGGAGGCACAACCACGCCGCTTCCGTGTTCTTCTCTCGGAGCTCCATCGCACCCACCTCTTCTTCCGAGGAACGCAGATCCGACCCGTTATCGCTTCAACCCGAATTCTTTCTTCCCTTCAGAGGTTAGGGTTTCCCCTCCTCGCCGCTTGCTTGTATTGATTATTCCTTCGGAGCCGCGACATGATTGGTTTCACTTTTCTAGTTGTTTGGATCGTTCTATTTTTGAATCTTAGGGTTCTCTGCTTGATTTACACCCCTTGATTGGAGGCTTTGTTTGTTTTGGATGTTTGTGCTTATGTATGAAGCTAAAATGTTCTTGTAATCGATGTATTAGCGACTGATTTACGTGAATAGGTTTTAGCTTTCGGAAGCGTTTTGGTTGTTTATTGCAATCTTCTCTGAGATCGAATGTTCGCTTCAGATGATCGTTTTCGATTTTTTGAGGCGGTTTTTTGTTGTTCTGTGTGTTGGAAGAAGGATTCTTATATTTTTCTCTTTGAATTGTGTCTCTTGTCTTTGTTATTTGATGTCTTGCCATTGTGTAGTTCTTTTGCTTAATTTTAGGTTGAGTGAAACTTGGTTGTTAGTAGTGTTTTTATAGGCCATTACCTGTTATATTTACAGACTACTTGTATGAACAACTTTAAACCACCTAGTTGTTGGTAAATGTGTTATAGTCATGTATGTTCTCTGTTAATGTAATAGTAATCCATTCTAATGGATCTGTAATTCAATATACTTTTTTAGCTGTTCTTTGACGTCAGTTTATTAGCAACGAGTTGTGTTGTGCATTTAGGAAACATATGAAAGACCCCAACGTGGTGGAAGTTGAACACTACTTTTACAGTGGTATTAAACTATACTAACATGTCAAAGAAGTTACGGTCTATTGCATAATTATTTGTGTTCTATTTGTGAGTCTACTCGCTGGTAAGGTTTCATTTGTATCTTTAATATTTGATTTGGATGAAATCATGAGGTAGAGTGCTTTGGCTTTTGATGCTGGCTGCAAATAAATGAATGTTTTATTTTTTTAAAATAAATAATTATTTAAATAGTTATTAAGCTGTTTAGTAACTTTAGTTGGATGGATGCTTAAAATATTTTGAGAGGGCTTGATAATCCTTGTGATTGTTATATGTTTAAGCTGTAAGGCATATGTTTGTGCCATTGCCATCATTATGGTTTGCCTCTCTTCTGTACCATTAGGTCAATAATTTACAGCTAATCATTCGTTTTAACATTCTATTGTTTGTTAATAAGCCATATCTATCCTGGTTGGCCAGCTTGTCAAAATTTATAGGTAAATAAATAGCAGTTGCATATTATGTTACTTTGGGGCTCTGGCTTTGTTGCTGTAAATTTTGCTTATGTTGATTCTTCAAGTTCTTCTGTTAGTTTGAGGCTTCATTTTTCATCGATTGATCAATAACTTTTAGCTAACCAAACGTTATTCCACTGATTGATTTGATTTGATCCAGGTTTTGCTACTGAAACACTGGTCCACACAAAAGAAAACAGCATTATTCCTGAAATTCCAGCAACTGTGACAGCTGTTAAAAACCCTTCTTCTAAGATTGTATATGATGAACACAACCATGAACGATTTCCTCCTGGTGACCCAAGCAAGAGGGCATTTGCGTATTTTGTCCTTACAGGTGGTAGGTTTGCATATGCATCTCTAATTCGTCTCCTTATCATCAAGTTTGTGCTCAGCATGTCAGCAAGTAAGGATGTTCTTGCTCTGGCTTCACTTGAAGTTGATCTCTCTAGCATTGAGCCAGGCACTACCGTGACTGTTAAGTGGCGTGGAAAGCCAGTATTCATCAGGCGCAGAACTGAAGATGATATTAAGCTGGCAAACAGTGTTGATGTTGGATCTCTGCGTGATCCCCAGCAGGATGCAGATAGAGTCAAGGACCCAGAATGGCTCATTGTGATTGGGGTTTGCACACATCTGGGTTGCATTCCCTTGCCAAATGCTGGGGACTTTGGGGGATGGTTCTGCCCGTGCCATGGTTCACATTATGATATATCTGGCAGAATTAGGAAAGGACCAGCACCATACAATCTGGAGGTACCAACCTATACCTTCTTGGAGGAAAACAAGTTGATGATTGGTTGAAAACCTCAGGGCTGCTCCCTACCGCAATGGGTACAATTTTTTTTATTTATTGGATAATGTCGAAATGCGCCGTGGACGTCTTTGGCCTTGGAATCCTTATTTTGTCATGTTTAGCAAGTGTTGATGTAACTCGGAAATTTAAGCATTGCTGTTTGACGAGACTTGTATCAATAATCGCCTGACTTTTTGCGTATCATATGAATGTTCAAAAGCATGCCTTCAGGCATATTACATTGCATTTTGCAACATCATGAATAACATTTTGCTTAATACAATATCGTGTCTTTTTGGGTATCCATAAATTTAACAAGTAGCCTCTTTTAACACTTTGAAAGCATGCTACTTTTACAGTAGGAATCATAAGTATGTAGCCAAATAAAATGCTGTGCTTGAGGCGAATTTCAAAACTGTCAGCTGGTTAGAACATAGCAGTTCACAACATTTGTCCAAGAGATTACCAGCTGTGGCCGTTTTTATAAATCTAAACAGTTTTAAAAAAAAAATGATGACACTAATTAATCATTCCTTTACATTGTATTCTGCCCAGATAAAATGGATTATCTTTCAAAGACGCCTTTAACGTAAACCATGCCTTTTTCACTAAACTTGAGTTCCTTTCTCATTTGCTCAACTTGTTGGTCATCTCCTTGAACAATGATCTCTGATAGGGCTCCTTCATCTTCAAGTATCATTTTCACCTTAATCTGCTCCTTTCTGGATGCTCGAGTCCAGTAATAAGCGCCTCTGCGTAAATGTACAAAGCATCAGCACATGTAGATATCAGTAATCTCTTGAGTACCTCTCTTCGCTTTACCCCAAGAGCAAAGGAAAAGACAAAAATGCATCAACAAGTTTAACGTAAATTAACAATGCCTTCACTTACGCCAGTGGACTCAAGATGGTGATCCAAAACCAGTTATTGCCAACATCCGGAAAGGTTATGGTAAGTACTAGGGCCACACTTGCTAAGCTGATGCAGGTGCAGAAAGTTAATAATGCTGCTTGGCCCCTGCTGGGAACCATCATGCCTTCGAACCTTCATAGCATATGAATGCAAACCTCTATTAGATGTCTATCTTCATTTAAATTAATTATTTAAAGGGCAGAGAGAAGAAGAAAGGGAGAGCGCATCTTTATTGATTAACACTTATTAATTGGATATTAGAGACTTTTGACGGAAAAAGAAAACGGTTATTCCACCTTTCCTCTTTCTTAAACCATCACCTATAACATCATACATTGGCTGTAGTGTACGTGATCCCCTGTGCAATGATTAGATTAGTAACTTCCAAATGCTATTGGTTAAATATAAGTTGGTTTTACCGATGGTAATATTACTTTGGTCCTTTTTTTATCAAAAAGTAATTCATTCATTCATAATATATTAATACAGTAGTTCTGTGTATATTTAAAAAATACTTTTAATAATAAATAGTTAAATAAAAAATCTATTAATATAGACAATAAGTCAAAATAAATAAAATTTTAAAAAATTAATAATTAATGGATTTAAAAGTAAGTCTTTGTTTAAAAAAGAAAGAAAGAAATCATGGCACTTGTTTCTTGCAAAAACAACCGAACGAAGTAATAAATTTATATCTGCAAAAGTGGGTATTTCATATGCGAAAGGCAAATTGCTTGAGTTGTGCAGCAGACATGTAAAAGGAGGGTATAAGACGGGGAGATTGAAAAATTAGGTTGCGGAATTACGTGATGGTTTCTCCTCTGTCAGTGACTGCAAAGTTGTTACGCGTGAAGAATGCTAATATCTCTGCAGCAACCCTATTTGGTGGCTTCTTTTCCCCTTCACTTATAAAAGTCTTCTTCACAATCTAACATTTTCACCCCAATCATATCAGCCCCAAATAAATCCAGAAAAATGCAATATATGTTCACACGCACGCACACACACGTGTTAAGAGTGGAAATGAATTACTTTGGATTTGACGGAACGCTTGATGAGGGACCAAAGACCAGGCACAGAGATTACAAAGAGTCCGAGAGAAGTGTAATAGCTGGCCGTAGAATAACCAACGCCCTCTGCGAGCAAAACCAGAGAATAGGGGTTTAGTTGTTGATGATCGTGAAGGGACACGTGGAGCCTCTTCGTTCTTCTGGGAGGGGATCGTTGATGCCATCGCATTCCCATTCCCATTCCCATTCCTAGACATGGATGTAGCTTCGCGTCAAATGGCAGAGAACAGAGAGTGTGTGGGTTTGGGGATAACAGCATCTTTGCAGCCATTGTTCCTTCACGAAACGGATAGGGTGGGTGATTGATTGGGTTCTTTTGAGCTTCTATTTTTGTGTATGCTCAGTTTATTTAACCGTCTAGATTCTCGACACTGCTTTTGCTTTAACGGTCTAGATGGATATACAAGTCTTCACGGTTTGAATTCCATGGATTTTTAGATTATTCAAATTAATTATAAAATTAACTAACCATTGGTTTGAATCAGTTTTAAAATAATATAGAAATTAGATTAAATTAATTTTTTTTACGGTTTGGATTGGATTGATTATTTTACTTTTGCTTTATTTTTTCAAGTGATAATATTTTTCAGTAAATAAACAAATTAAATGTTAGCTATTTTAGATTTAAATTGAGTCATATATTAATATATATTTTTTAGTAAGTAATTTTTATTTTGAAAGAAAAAATTTATTAAATGTATAATAAATATGAAAGTGTCGTTGAAAGTATTAATTCTTATTATAAATCATAATTTAGGCTAAATTATAAATCACACGGCAATCTTTTTTAAATATAAATATATTCAATAAAATATAAGTGTTTATATAAAATAAAAAAAAATAATATATTTTTAATTTTTTTTGGTTTTTAATTTATTCAATTTTTAAATCGAATTAGCAGTTTAAAATGGTTTGTCAGTTCTTAGACACCTCTAAATATGTGATTACATGTGTTGGTCATATTTAGTAATAAATTTTAAATTATTTGGCATATTAAAAGTTTTTTCTAGGCTAAAAGTTACTTTTTTATTTTTATAGTTGATACTATTTACAAACTAAAATTTATACATAAAAATTTATATTTTAATTTTTATATAAAATATTGTTAAAAAAATAACAATAAATAATAATTTGTGTTAACGATATTATAACATTAACGACAAAAATAAAATCAAACACATGTATACAAAATAAAATATAATATTTTTAAATAATAAAAAATATAATTTTTATATAAAAATTTAAAGTATAAATGACTGTTAATTATAAAAATTAAATATATAATTTAACTTTTTTTTTAATCAGGGAGATTGTGCGGTTGATATTGGACTATAAAATAAGTTATTATTTTCGAAAATAACTTATCTAAACATGTAATTAAGCATGACCACTAGTCTATTAGAAGTAAACCTAAATGTCAAGCAATTGTTATTTGGCAATTTTATAGTTTTTGCTAATTTTCACTTTTTCCATGCGTTGCCTGCTGAAATATTTGCAAAAGCATTGTCTATATTAATTAAATACAAGACCTTGTATGAAGAACATTGTTATTTAACTATTGTACCATCTATTTATTTGTTAAAAAATATACACAATTTAATAGAAATTTTATATCTTATTTTTATAATAAAATATTTATAAGTGAGAGTGAATTTTAAAACTTATTATCCTAATTTGAAGATAATTCATGATTTTAAATGAATTAAAATATACAGATTATTACTAAATTTTAAAATTTAATCTGCTTGATTATAATGTCTTTATTTATCATTTTATATTTATCACTTAACTTAACAAGATAATCTCAAAGTTGCTTTTAAAGTGTCTTCTATATGCAAGGTCAACGATGGACATGTGGTGAGAACACCTAACAAGAAAGAGAAAGAAGATAGAAACTTATTTAGAGATTTTTTTTCTTTCTTTTTTAAGCCTCAAAGGTACAAGTTATATTGATATATTGTTGGATAAGAGAATTATATTGGTCGAGTTGCCTTTTGATAGAAAAAAGTTTTTTTAACTCGAGTCCAATTGTAATTAATCATGTTAAACTGATTTTGTAATCCAATACAAACCACTATTTGATTTGACTCAATCAAAGACATATTTTCTATTTGGAGATGTCAGGTTTGAGCAAATTACTGTCTATCCCTAATATATATATTCTTCAAGGGTTTTAGGTCCCAAAAGTGCATGATAAATACTACCAAAACCCAATACCACATAGAAAATTAAATGAAGTACTCCAGACACAAAGTATGGAAAGTGTCTATAACTTTCCAAGGACCTACTATTTATTAAAATAAAAAGAATTATAACATAATATATTAATATAATAATTAAATAATTAAATAATAATAATAGAATTAAGAATATAAAAAATATATAATTTTAATCCTAACCTATTATGATTAACCAAAATATACCATAATGTATTATTGATTGAATTGTTATCATTCTAATATATGTAAATTATTTATTTTGCTTTAAGTAGATGATTTTGTTGTAAGGTTGTATAGTTATATTTTCGTGAAATTTATCTATATTGTTTAACTTTTTAGATTGTTTAATGAAACTAGTATACAAGAATGACATCAAAATTTTATATATATATGAAATACAATGTTATTTTTGGTTAATTTATGATGTTCTATATTTTCAGTAAGGCTTAGAAGCGTGTATTTATAGTATACAATTTGTATTTAGAAATTTTTTTGCTATTTTTTAAAATAATGGCATTTAGCATGCCCTCTAGTGCATTTTACTAAGTAAGTTGTTACAATAATACAATTTATTGATGTACATTGGGATTAAGATAAGGAAATCTTCTATTTCAGTCTCATAATCTCTTAATAAAGTAAGTTCTAACAAGAAATAAGACTTATTAACTTGATGATAATCAAAATGTATTACTTTAAATGACACACTAAGTGAAATATTTAGATTTTATTTTTTTGAATTGTATAAATCCAATTTGCAAAAAGGTGCCTTCTGTTGAAGGGAAGTGAGTGAAAGGGCTTCAAGGATTTGCGGAGGAAGAGTGGCAGAGGTAATGTCACAGAAAATCAAATGTAGTTTTTGTTGCAAGAGATAAGAATAAGGTATGAAAGAGAAAACAACGTTGTAAAGGCCATGGCTGAGTAAGAAAGTGAGGGAAAGAACAAATGACAATGAAAAATTAAGAAGAGAAGAGAAGAGAAAAAGTGTTGCATGGACAATGACCTACAACCTAATTTTTTTAAGGGTTTTGTTAACCTCAGCCCTTAGGGCTGAGTTTAAGCATCCACATATATAAATTTTTTTATAAGAATAGTACACAGTTATTATATTAAAGTTATAAAAATACAATAAATATTTCTCTTTTTTCTAAAATTTTACTATTATTAACTACTTATCATCACCTCTAAGGTTTAAGGTTAACAAAACCTTTTTTTTAAAAGCCTAACTTGATTTAACCTATTTAGGATATATAAAATTTATAATAATATATTAAATAATTTTATATAAAAATTATAATATAATATTATATTAAATAAATTATATTTTAAAATCTTAAATTAAAAATTTTAATTCTTTTCAATGGAGTTGGAGAATCTCTACTACATACTCTCTATAAAAAAAAGTGTTGCATTTACTAGAGCATTTTGTATTATTGTTACTTGATGTATCTTTTTTATTGATACCTTTATTCTTTACTTTGGAATTGGAATAATATTCTTTGTATATTTTAGATTTTAGATTTATTTTTTGTTGCATTTGTCAATTTTAGGTCTAAAACTTATTTAGTTATATTGTATTTATTGATTTAAGGTGTAAAATTTTATGCTACTAGATTTATTTAATGATTTATAGATTGATGTTCATTCAATTGTGTTTTTTGTAAGTTTAGTAATTCACTTATTTAAATCAAATATGTGGTTTGAAAGTAATAAATAGGAATATGTAATTTTAGTACAAATATTCAAGGTGTTAAACTCTTTTTATGACTTATTTAAATATAAGCCTCACGATCTTTATAAAGACTCTTATTTTGATGGTTTGATACACAATTTATAAAATAATTTAATAATCTATTAAAGGTATCAATTCAAAGTAAATCATTAAAAATATTAATAGGTCAAATCAAACTTTTAAAAATATCATGCTACATTTAATAAAAAGTCTTCTATATATAACAACTAACCAGTTAGATTTAGGTTTTAAAATTATTAAGTAGATCAGGCCTACTTATGCAAAGTGTAGCCTAATTTATTTTCATTCCTAATTATGAGAAAACAAAATAAAAATGTAATTAAAATTCAAAGAAAGGAGTTAGAGTGAATGTGGAGTCAGAAGTTCATGAAAAATGTTGATGTTGTTTGATGCTAAAATATTACAAAGCTTTCAACCAAAATGGTCTAGATTTTGAATATCAATAAAAGGAATCATAACGTGACTTTTCAACTTTAGGCAAATTTTTTCAATAAAAGATTTACAACATATAAATTTAGTTTATTTGGGCTAGCTTTAAGCAACTTTATCACAACTTTAGACAGTTTTATCATATATTTGGGCAAGTTTATCACAACTTTGGACAATTTGTTTAAGCAAATTTATTAAATAAAAATAAAATTAAACATTTAGCTTTTATGTAAACTTGAGAAAAATCAAATTCCTAATTTTAAGTGGTGACAATTATTCTATTTTTTATTTTTATTTTTATTAGATGCTCATGCTACCATTTGTATAAATAAGATATTATTTATTGTTATATTTGCATTCTTTTTTTGGAAACTTTAATTTGAGTGGCATTATTGAATTGTTTAGACATGCATTCTTTTGAAGTTTAAAAAATTTGCAACTTTTGACTCCAATATCTATAATTTTAAAAAATAAAATAAAGCATAATAAGATCAAGTTTTATATAAGTTACAAATAGATTACTTATTTAAAAAAAAATTAAAATATAGTTTTGATTATATATTTCATAAAAAAACATTTAAACTATAAATTTAACAAAATATTTTTAACAACTTTTAATATTTTTGTGCACAAAAACTGAATTTATAAACATTTTGTATAATTTTTAAATTTTTATTAAAAATTCACAAATATTAAGTTAACATTTAATTTTAATAAATTATATTTATTTACTTGTTGAAAAACAGGGCTTAGCAACCCAACACACAACAAACCTCAAACAAAAGGTTAGAAAACCAACACCAATAATTATAAACATCTAGGTTAAAGAAAGGGGAAAGAGAGGGGAGAGCGTCCTTAAACTAATGAAAAGGGATATGGGATTTAACTTTATCTTT